AAAGTAACAGAGAGAGAGAGAGAGAGAGAGAGAGTCAGAGACAGAGACAGAGACAGACAGAGAGAGAGAGGTACTCTGCCCTTCTGGCTCACTCGAGGATCCAGGCTGTGGGCAGAGATGCGGTCCAACTAGAATTGATGCTGCTTGTTTTGTGTTCATTCTCTCTTTGGAGCTGGGACAGTACTGAACACCAAAGCAGTCACATCTCTCTTGCCCACTGTGCTGGGGTCATGTCCAGTAAGTTCCTGAGCAGTTGGCCCAATCATTGGGTATCTGGAAAGGAGTGGGCTCTCCCCCAAGCCTTGTCCCATCTCTCCTGAGTTGCTTGCTTCCTGGTTCCCCTCACTGCACACTTGACCCCTGTTTGGGGAACACCAGGGCCCAGCACATTGCTAGGCATGGAGTATTTGCTCTGCATAGGCTCTGGCAAGCAGGGTCATTTTGAGCATAGCCAAGCCAGCCCTTACCTGGCTCTTCCTGGCTAAGCTATGCTCACCAGCATTTCTCACAGACATCAGGACTTGGTATAACTGATCCAGCACTTAGTCCTACTAGACCAGAGTTGCTGCTCCTATTCCAGCTACATCTGGGCTGTTTGGTTCCCCATGTTCATTCTCAAAGCCCCTCCAGAGGTGTCTGCTTAGGTCTCATCTTTGCATTTTTCAGCTTCTAGGAAGGTATACAGCTCTACCTTAAGCTAAGTTCATTTTATCCTGAGATTGGTTGGGAAGGGGGCATGGGACAAGCCTGGAGTGGGGGCAGCAATAGGATCCCCTAACTCCAGGAGGAGCCGGAAGCTATAAGAAGCAGCAGGGGCCAAAGATATGCCAGAGCTTTCAGCCTTACATCTGTCTCATTTCCCAAATGACCCCAATACTGGGGAGAGAGAGGGGCTTAGGATCCATTCTGCAGAATAGGCCAGGAATGAAGGGTGGAGGTCTTGGGGACAGCACTGCAGGGTACTGGTTGGTCCACAGGATATTCTGGAGACTCCTATAACAATATTCCTGTTGAATGAGAATGTCTGTTGTTTTACCATAAACTTAAGACTCCAAATTAGGAGGACATGGGGTCAGGAACCTTTTGTGAGCCTTGCTAGCTGAGGGCTGCATTGGCTTATTTCAGGTTAAAAAGATAAGACCAGAGCTGGCAGATGTTCTCAAAAGGAGCTTCCTTTCTCCTTTACCCCACAGAGCCAGGGACAGGCTCTTCTCACTGCCTGGGTCCACTGAGGAGGCAGCAGCCTCTAGCCAGCCAGCCTGGAACTCCATATGGCCACCAGAGGGCAGCCAGGACTGCCATGGCTGGCACAATTGATTGGCTCCACCCAGCCTGTCCCTGCTCTCTGGGACCCTACCCCCGCTGGAACACTGGAGCTCTTCCTCCTCAGTCCTGCTTGTCAAGAGTATGGAGCTGAAGAGGTCAGGAACCCCTATGCTGAGGTGCTTCTTACACTCAGTGAGACCTGCGGGCCAGATGGTGAGGTAGTAAAGCCCAGGCTGCACAAAGACATTGAAGGATTGGAAACCTGTGCCTGAAAGCGAAGCCTTCTTCATCTCTACCTGCCTGGAGTCCAAATAGCCTCCCTAAGGCTGACCCCAACACCACAGTGGGGTCCTGCGTGGACTGTGCCTCAGTGTTGACAGCAGAAGTGGGTATATTCTCACTGTGTACCCAGAATCTTAGTTGTCTAGAAGAGTACATTGCTTTTGCTGTGGTGGACACCATTGTCAGTGAGTGGCACAAACTTTCCTGGCCAGTGGCCCAGGGATGCTTTATGTATGTGCCCATATTGGGACATATTCTAGCTGCTTTCCTGGATCCCACCTCTGCTCACAACCCAAAACTTGAGATATATGTAGAGCTGCAGCCTGCTGAAGCCACACTGCAACCAATGCAGAGCCCTGAGCCCATGTGACCCTGAGCTGGGTCTGATTCCTGCCTTGGACTCAGTCTGTGCCTTTGGGAACTGCCCCATGCAGTTAGTATTCATGTCCATAGCCCATTGGTCTGGCTGGACTCCAGATAGCCTCCTTGGCCTTTGGTGCTTTGGCTAAGCTCATGTCTCACCTGGGACGTCTCTGCTGTCTGGTTGGGCCACTGACACTGACTGCATCAGAACTCCAGACCTTCTCAAGACTAGGCATGGCTCTATGGAGTATAGGTACCAGGTGGTGGTGCCCTAGGGCTCGATAGAGCCTAAACAGTTTGGTGGCAACTTGCAGTTTGGGAACTATGACAGGGGTAGACCCAGGCCTACCTTGTTTGGGGGAGGCAGCCTAACAAGGGGTATAGTAACTCCCTTGAACATGAAGTTCCTGGTTCTAGGCTCCTTGGCCAGGTAGGGACTCCTGAGCCTGCAGACCAGCCTCAAGGGGATATTCCACGTTTCCCATCATGAATCATCTCTAAATCTATTTCATATCACTGTTGACTTCCTTTATCAGTACTTCTGTGCTTCTACCCAAGGGTTCCCAACTAGCTGGGCAACTGTAACTGCTGTAATGAGAACACTCTTAGAATAGAGACCCATCCCTCTCATTGCCTCACCTCCCCTGCTTCTATTATCCCTTCTATGGTGTTTTCTGAGATACCGTCTTGCTATATAGTTCAGGCTGGCCTTGAATTTATGTCAATCCTCCTTGCTTAGCCTCCCAAGTAGTGGGATTACAGGCATGCACCACCATTCCTGGCTTTTTTTCTTTCTTTCTTTCTTTCTTTTTTTTTTTTGTGGAACTGGGGATTGAACTCAGGCCTTTATGCTTGCTAGGCAAACACTTATTCTACTGAGCTATCTCCCTGGCCTCCATTACTGGCTATTATAGTCCCTTCTGTTTTCCCTTGCTTTTACACTTTGTGGGGAGCCCTACAAGGCAGGAGGCAGCCCTGGAATTCCCAAGTGAATGGATAGTATGAGGGTCCTGAGGACTGGAAAAACTGAGTTCAGATCCTGGCTCCAGCCCTGCCTGGCCTGGACCCAGTTTTCACATCTGTAAAATTTTGTGTCATAAGGGGACCTAGTGGGAGTCAGTGAGATTCTCAGAATACAGACCAAATGGCTATGGTAAAAGGTCATGACATGTGAGTCCTGGGGAGAAGCTATTGGTTATCAAGGCTGATAAAACAGAATCTTATGAGACAGAATCTATGTGAACATCTAAGCTAAAAGCTAAGTGTCCTAGAAATGTCATATTCAGTGCAGGTGCTAGTTCCTGAGCCTCACACCTCAGGGTAAAAGTAGCATTTCCTTTACTGTGGGGAAGGTGTCATTGGGTGGCCCCTAACTAAGCCTGCTCCTCTTAGGTGTGTACATATACATGGTGTACACATGCGTGCACGCACACACGCACACACAGAGGCACACATCTGGCTTGAGCCCCCAGTTCTTGTCTGCCTCTAGCCGCAGTGTTTTAACCTCCCACTCCATTATCTCACCCTGACACCTGGCCAGATCCTCACCACCATTTGACACCCCTCCCCACAATGAGCATCATACAGGGGCACTCATTCTTGGAGTCACATCCACAAAAGAAAGGTTAGATAGAGGCTTAGAACAATGTGAAAAGCACCATAGAACAGAGGGGAAAGAGCTCCCATTATGGAGGTCTGCCCTAAGACAGCCATGTGAGGTCCATCTCACTCTGATTGTCTGCCATCCCAGATTTTCATTTACATAACTGCTCTGGCAATGACCTTAGGCTAGGCTTGGATATAACAAGAAGGAATGTGTCCCCCAGGATGTTGACCCCAGCAGGAAGTGCATGGTTCCTTCTTCCCCTAGTAGGGCTGTGAACAGGGTAAGGCAGGCATAGGCACCACTTTGTCCTTCTGGCCTATACACTGTGGTCACCCTAGGTCTAGAGATCAGTTTCCAGATTATATCTGGTCATACTTGTAGGGTCAATGATGTGCCTGCAGGGAGGATACAGAATCTGGGCTAGCCTCTAGAGTCTCAGGAGAGGCAGACAGCATCTCTCACGGTAGGCTTAGGCTGTAGGGTGGAGGGAACAGGACCTGCTAATGAAAGCTCTGACCACCTTCACAGGCCAGTGGAACCCTGAGCCTACTGCCCCTGAGCCTAGTGTGGGGTTCCTGTTTTGTATGCTGTTTATCAGAATGAAATGGGCCCAGCTTTCTAGAAGGGGAAAAGGTTACTATCAGCCATACTGCTAAATTCTTACCAGCATTGGAAATATGCACAAGAGAAGCTGACCTGATATAAACTGCAGTCCCAGTTATATGTGGGGCCAAGAAAGTACACAAGTGTATGATTGTGAGTCAGATGCACTATGGATGACCTCGGGGTCAGGGATGATAGCAAGCATCCTGTTTGGGGGATGGTCCAAGGCAGTGCTTCTCGAATCTACGAACTTGTGCTGTAGAGCCTAATGCGTAAACCGCTACGCTATCTCTCCAGCTGGCAGTGCTTCTCAGTCTAGAACGGACCTACCAGGCCTGGGGACCTCACAAAGTGTCATCTGGTTTCTGTACAGGAGCTGGAGCCTGAAGAATGGGTATAAAGACAACCTGATCTGCCCTAGAAAAGGTAAGTGGGCTGGGCTTGGCTTAGCCTGGGCACATGCTCTCTGCACACAAGATGGTGGCACAGTGCCCTGGTGGGTCTGGCAGGTATGGCTGATAGGGAATGAACGAGGCCCCGGGCAGTGTATGCTTTAGGTTAGTTTTATCCTGGGTGGGTACAGCCTGCAGGCTGGACAAAGCTGTATTGGAAGCCTCTCACCCCCTCTGCTTGGTTTCCTAATGCCCAGAGTGCGGATGGCAGGCACCATTTTAATGTTCAGCTTGAGGATCAGTTTATGTTGAAGTTGACCTACCAGGTTGCTCATTATTGAACTGGATGTTAGCTGTGTCTGATCCCCATCCACTTCAGATTGGACACTAGCCATGGCAGTATCTGGTGTTGGCCAGCCTGGTACTCAGTTCAGGGTGGCTCCTGGTTACCCCAGGAGAGTAGAGTACCTGGCTGGTCACAGCTGATGACCCTGAGGCCAAGCACACTGCAGGCTTTGTGTAAAAGGGCCAGATAATGGGTATTTTGAGTTTTGCAGACCTTACAGTCTTTCATAGCCACACCTCTTTGCCACTGTAGGACAAAAATATCCACAGACAATGGTCACAAATAATACTTTGATCACAGCTGGGTGCCTCTGCTGGCCTGCAGTCTCTGCAGTCTGTGTTTTGGGTTCATCTGTTAATTATGGCCAGCAGCTCCAGTGGCCCTGAGATGTGGTTCCTGGCAGGTGGAACAGGTTTAGAGACTTGAGTGGTCCCTGTTTGCTGTTACTCTATGTCCTCCAAATGAAAGGGGCATTTGAAAGCACCTGACATTCTATTTGTCACAGCAACTGTGATGGTTTCTGTTGGACTGCAAAGAACATCCCTGGTTACTCCTGTTCTTGCAGCGTGGATGCCCAGAACCTGGCCAGCTGTCTCCCTGTAAACCCTCTGAGTGCTGTCTCTTAGAAGGCTGAGCCAGTGCTAGCCCTGTGAGGCTTTTTTTTTTTTTTTGCCCTGTGAATTCTCAGTGCCACCTAGAATGCAGGCTCATTGGTGTTATACTAGAGAGGAGGTGGTGGCCTCAGACCCAAGAGTCCCCAGGCCTCTTTATATGTGAGTGTCCTATACCACAGGATATAAGATAGAGGGGAGAAACTAGGTAGTCTTGCTCCTATTTGCCTGGTCCTAAGGACCTTGGGCAAGGTGAGAGCCTGGTCTGTTGCTGACTGCTGTGTAGAAGGGCCATTCTCTGGCCTAGCATCTCCAGGCTCAATCTACTGAGCCATGTGAGGGCTTCTTGGACAGAGACCCAGGCTTTATTTGGAAACCACTGGCCAGAGTATGCAGGTCTTGGGACATGGCATAGATGATGACATCTGAGGACAGCAGTGGGAAAAGGGGCTGGGCCTTACCCCCTTGCTTCCTAGTAGGCTGCCACACCTCCAGTAGGCCAGGTTAGCCAGATACCAAATGACATCTCTGGTAGCAGCAGTAGAGAGTGGTAGACTAAGCACATCTGAGTCTACCTGGCTATTGTCACCACTCTTTCTGTTGTTGCTTGCTGCTTTCCTTTCTCTTTCTGTGCTTCCAGTTCTTTCCCCTTCCCTCTCTGTGCCCCTTCCCTTCATTTCCCTGCCCTTCCCTTCCCTTTCCTTCCTTCCCTGTTCTGCCCAGCTCATTTTGTGATTGATTACCCTTTTCTGCCAGGTGACTGCTCATTTCTGTTTGTCCTGTGTGTTGGAAGAATAAGCAATGACACTTGTGCTGTTCTGTTCAGTGGGCCAGGCTCCATTTCACAGACTGGTGAACAGAACACAAGTGTCCTGGAGTGTGTCCTTGCACACAACCAGAAGAAAATGGGGAGAGGCTTTGGAGCAAAGTTAAGACAGAGGCACTGGGGTTTGATCCCCAGCTTGTTGTGCTGGCCCCACCCCCAGGGCCCTCTGAAAAGGAGATTGAGACTGGGTGTGGCATGCACCTGAAATCCTAGCACTTGAGAGGCTGAAAACAGGAGGATCACTACGAGTCTGATCTGTGTAGTGAGACTCTGTAGACCCTGTATTAAATACATTTTTTTAAAAAAAGAGATAAGCAGCAGCCATGTGACCCACACATTCACCTTGTCTCTCACCCAACACTTGCTCACCATACCTCAGGCTGGACATTGGGCATTGCGCCACATTGAGCCCAGCCCTGCCCTTAAAGAGCCCCAGTCTGGCCAAGGAAATGAATGACATACAGGAAAACTAGCAGCTAACTGTAGGGTTGTAAGGTGGTGGTCCTGGTGAAAGGAAACTGAAAGGCCATGGGACACAGTGATGCATGCTGATTTGAGACTTGCAAGGACTGGTAGGGACACAGGTGCTCTTCATACATCAGGGCTAGTCCTACTATACCTTTTCAGAAACCGGCACCTGCCTTTTTCTCCCTCTATGCTAGGGAGGTTTTGGTGGATTTCTCAGCCCTTGGTATGAGTCCTTTTTTTTTTTTTTTTTTTTTTTTTTAGGGAAGGGTATATAGGGTGTTCAGGGTCTCACTACTTGATTGGACTTGTAGTGATCCGCCTGTTTACAGCCTCCCAAGAGCTGGGATTACATACCACCTCGCACAGTTTCAATTCTGGCATGGCAGGCGTGGGGATTGAACCCTGACCTCTGCGCCTGCTTGCAGGCACTTTGATCCACTGAGCTGTTTGGCTGGCCTTTTTGATATGAGTCTTGAAAGATTAATTTTTTGCTCATCTCTGCTGCATTTTTCTCAGCTTTTTAATTTTTGTTATGATAGTTTTTTTGTTTGTTTGTTTGGTTTTTTTTTGGTGGAACCGGGGATTGAACTCAGGCCCTTGCACTTGCCAGGGAACCACTTATTCCGCTGAGCCATCTCCCCGGGCCCTGTTATGATAGTTTTTTGTTTTTTTTTTTTTTTCAGAACCGGGGATTGAACTCTGGCCCTTGCGCTTGCCAGGGCAGTGCTTATTCCACTGAGCCACCTCCCCGGCCAATAGTTTTTGATGTTTGCAAATTTTTCCTACTTTATGGGAAAATGTTGACAATTTTTCTTTTTTCTAGTTATTCCATCACTGTGCATAGTGCTGTATAGCATGGAGCTAGATAAATTGTCTGCCTTCTCTTCTACCAGATGTTGTTTCTTTACTTTTTTGTACTCAAAGAGTTAATCTACTTCACATTTATTTTGACATAAATATGAGGTGAGGATATAACTTTGTTTTTCCTGTTTCATTTGAATGATTTCTTTCCTAGCATCTTCTGTTACGAGTATGTCCTCATGTTCCCAGGTTTTGTCTCTTGTGACAAGTGCTCAGTATCTAGTCAGCACTTACTGCTGTTAAAAAGACCAAGTGGAAGCTGGATATGGTGGTGCATGCCTGTAATCTAGTACTCATGAGGTGGAAACAAGGAAGAAAGATGCGAGTTCAAGATCAGTGTGCCCTACATAGTGAGTTCAAGGCCAGCCTAAACTGTTGTGAGACACTATCTCAAAAAGAAAAAAGAAAAAGAAAAAAAAAAGCCAGGCAGGCATGCCTGTAATCTCAGCACTCTGGAAGACTAAGGCAGGATGATTGCAAGTCTAGGATGATTAGGCAGTTTAGTAACTTATTGAGACCTCATCTCAAAATTAAGAAAGGGCTGGTGATATAAGCTCACTGCAGAAGCCTTGGGCTTGATCTTCCCGGTAAAAAAAAAGGAAGACTCTCACCATCACTCTTCGTTTTCAGAGTCCTAGTTATTCCATGTGTGTTTTACCACTGTAAGGTCCCCTGGAGCTGGCACTGCCTAAACAGGCTGGTCCTCCATGTGTGGGTCGTGGTACACAGGGGCCTGTTTACCAACCATAGGGCCCAGCCCCTAGCCAGTTTCGAGAAGCCTTACCTGTGAGTGCGTGGCACTCTGGGGTGACATCCCAAAAGATTCATGCAAAAGGCATTTAGTCCATCTCTAAGACTTGCCAAAGACCTAATAGTTTCAGAATTACTGAAAAATCCAAAGTCTCCTCTGAGATTTAAGGCAAGTTCTTAGCTGCCTTAAGAACTTACATTTTACCTGTACAAATGTAAAGAAACTTAAACATTTCCAACATACAATGGCATAAGATGAACATTTCCATCCCAAAAGGTACAAATTGAAGGATAGAAAGGAATGAGACATGGGCAAGTCTAAAATCCAGCAGGCAAACCTGAAGCCCCATATTTCTATGTCTAGCATCCAGAGTAATCTGTGGTAAGATACAAACTCTAAAGGGCTTGGGTAGATCTGTCCCTATAGTGCTGCTGGTGGTTGCAGCTCTCACAGCTTCTCTCTTGGGCTGGCTTTGTTCACTCCCTGCAACCTTCCTCAGATGGATCTATGTTCTTGGCTTCTCCAGCCTTCTGGGGTCTCCACTGCACCTTCAGCCTCACCCTTGCAGCTTCATACACTACCCTTTGAGGGGGATGCTGCCTGACCTCTCAGGCTTTCTTTTCAAATGTGTGGAAGCCTTCCTGACCTCACAGCTCCTGCATTCTGTACATGCCTAAAACGTGGATGACACGAAGGTCTGCTACCAGATGGAGCAGTATCTAGCCTTCCTTCTCTCTTGGCTTTAGGGGTTGAGTACTGGATTGCTGAGCACTGTGAACCAAATCCAGAGGAACAGATTCTTCAGACCACACCCATTCTGAAACCATGCTCTGGAGTTTCCTTCTCAAAGCGAAGTATTTCACTTTTGCAATTTTGAGGCTGCAAAGGGTGGTGTCCTGCTGACCCTTGTGGTGTTCACAGGCCATATCTTCTGTTGTCCTATTCCTTTTCAGCAACTAAGTTCCCCTCTTCTGTGTGTTTGTAGTCTACAACTTTACCAGAGCTTCTTTTCTGGTCAAACTCAAAACATTTTAAATCATTCTGTTGGGCTTTTTTTGCTCTTCTTTCTCAACATAGATCTGACTAAAAACTCCTAGTAGTAGCCATGCCACTCCCTCAACATTAGACTGCCTTGAAATTTCTTGTGCCAGATTAAGTAGTCCACTGCCCT